CTACTAAAAGGGGAACTTAACTACACCTGAAAATTAAGAATATTCAAATGTGCAGTAGAAGAATGGCTTTTTGACTTGAGGAAGCTTCAGAATCTGGATACAGGGGCAGTTTCTAATTTCTACTCTAGATCAATAATGATAAGGAAATAACTTGTCATTATTAATCATTGAAAATGACATAGATTTCACTTTTTCAAAGTTTGGTTACCTGCTGGCATGTTGAAAATTTTTGAAGTGACCCCCAAATCACATTTGTTAGCAAGCAAAGCAAGTTAACAAAAAGTCAGCTGGCTGCCACAAATTTCCAATTACCTAAAAGAACCAACTGTTGAATTTTAAAAAATAAAATAAAATAGTTCTACTCACATCAGTGAAAAGAGTGGAGGCCTCTACCAAAATGGTGCAATATTTCTCAGCAGCTCAAAGTTCCATTTTCTAAAGGTGAAAATACCAATTTGATCCCTCAACTTTTAAATTTATACTAAAATTATCCCTAAACTTTAGTTTTTGGTACCAAAATAATTTTTTTGTTAATAGGGATGCCACAAGACTTGTTATTTTGTTGTAAAATCAATTTTTTTAAATATTAATAACATGTAAAATCAAATAGTTATATTTTATAATCATGACATTTTTATTTACAAATCAAATTAATATGAAATCAAATTTGAAAGATCAAATTAATATTTGTAATTAGAAGTCAAGAACTAAGTTGATACTTGTCTTCAAGGTTTAAGAACTAAGTTGGTACTTTGCCTTTGAAGTTCAAGGACTATTTTGGTATCCAAAATTAAAGTTTAAGGATAATTTTGATACTTTTTGAAGTTAAAGGACAACTTCAATATAAATTTAAAATTTAAGAGACCAAATTAGTATTTTAACCTTTTCTGAATGGTGCTAGTCAGATAGCAATTCTGTAGTATGTGGTAACTGGTAAAGAATCTATGACTTGGAGTCCATCACAAATAATGAAGCTCACATTTTTTTTTTTTTTTGGTTAGTTATTTAACAAGAAGTCAGTAATAACCTAATCTTTCTCAAATGTTTTATCTTGTTCTAAAGTTCAAACTCGAGATACAAAAGACATTTACATGAAAAATGTTTTCTCTCCCCGTTTTTTTTCCAGTCATATTGGCTTACAGCAGAACGAGGAACTTCTTCTATGCCTATTACGTGCTCAAGACAGTCACTGCCATCTTTTGTGAAGGCAGCGTCCATTCCCTCGCCCTTGCTTATGTGGTAAGACTAAGATCCAATTATTAACACTATTAAAGCCCAAAGAGTGGGCCAGTTTAAGCAAGGCCCGCCTTTCAGTTAAAACTTTTAAGACCCACTTGAAATTTAATGGGCTCGGCCATTTTGGCCCAATAAAGATGGTAATCGGTTCGCTCTTTCACACTTTTCCCCTCCATACTCTGCAATTCCGGTGAAATGGGTATTGATTCAGGCGGACAATGTTCCAGAGGGGCGGCGAGCATCGGCGTTTGGTATCCTATCCGGGATCGGATCTTGCGCCTTCGTCTGCGGGAACCTTTCGACTCGGTTTCTCTCCACTTCTTCCACTTTCCAGGTTTCCCCCTCACTTTCTCGCTGTTTACTATCTTGTGAATGGATTTCAGAAGGGTACAGAATCAAAGCCTGTTCTGGTTTTAGGTTTCGGCGTCAATGGCGATTGCTTCGACGGTTTACATGAGAGCTCTGCTTCCCGATTCAATCATTGATGAAAATCTTTCTACTCCAATTATGTCAACGGAGAAAGTCGAGAGTGTTACTGATTCAAGGGAGGATCCAGCTAGGAAGCCGCAGATGTTCAAAACATTGCCTTCTATGGAGGATGTGCTTGTGTTGTTAAAGAGCAGGTTAGTGAAATTTCCTTTCATTTCTAACAGGATATGGCTTGATTTTACTAATTAATCATGGTTTTATACTTTTATTATCTCGCATTTGTTGTTTTAGCGTTTGGGATGCAATGAATGGAAATCAAATAAAATTGTTTTAGGAACAGGATGATTTGGAGAATACATATTACTGTTATGCAGACCTTGATTTTCCGGAATTAGAACTAACTCTTGTTGACGGGATGATATCAAAATGCAGCTTGGTATTTACTCAAGCAGCAATTGTTTCGTTTTTCAGCAGTCTTGCAGATGTTGGTCTCCATGCATCACTATTGGTACTTCTCTTTTTCGGTGTGGTATTGATTTAGATGAACTATAGATTGTGTTTGGGTGGATTAAGAAAACTGAATCACTTAAAATTCATTCATTTTTCCCTTGCAGTACTATTTAAAGGCCAGGTTTCACTTCAACAAAGATCAGTTTGCTGACTTAATGGTCATTTCTGGGATTGCAGGGACAATATCCCAGGTATTTTGTTGCCATTTTGATTCCCTATTTCATATATTTTGCCTACTACTGTTTTCCAACATTAAATAGAAGCAATTGTGCAGATGCTTCTCATGCCCATATTGGCTCCTGCTATAGGAGAGGACAGATTACTCTCAATAGGGCTCTTCTTTGGCAGTGCACATGTAAGCAGCTTGCTGTCTTTTATTAGTAATCCCAAACATGTCATTATAAGGCGGATATTACCAACATTTGATGATATTTTCAATCCTTTAATAATTAATTAATTTATGGCCCTGAATGCAGATGTTCCTCTACAGCGTTGCTTGGTCCTTCTGGGTAAATATGTACAACTTAACTGGCTGTTATAACATTGTTTCAGTTTATGTTTTATCATTGGATGATTCAGCAATTGCCATAATGTTATGTCTCATCATGGCTAATGTTCTTGTCAAATGGCAGGTTCCTTACGTAGCTGCCGTGTTTTCCATATTCTTTGTTTTCTCACAACCATGTGTAAGTTTCTTATTTCACTTCTTCTTAATGTAAACTTGCTCTGACATACTTTCATATGATTTTCTTCTTAAATTCACAGATAAGGAGTATCGTATCTAGACAAGTTGGGTCTTGTGAACAGGTATTTGTTGTTGATCAAACTCTTTTTTGGCAGCACACTGGCATTGGTTTCTTCAATATTATCCTTGTCTTAGTAAGGCAGTACTCTGTAATCTTTATTTTCTCGTGGTTCAACAAAATGGTGCTTAAGACTTCTCAAGTCCCAAATAATGTTCAATACTTTTGAGAATGTCAAACATACATGCAAAAAGGTTGAAGAGGATAGAAATTGGGAGAAGAAAAGCTTCATCTGGGGTTGCTGAATAGCTAATATGTGCTTGAGAGCTTTTATCACATGTTGAGTAGTCCCTTTGGCCTTATTACCTGCTTCATTTTGTTCTTTTTTCAGGGGAAAGCTCAAGGAATCATTACAGGCATAGGTTCCCTTGCAAATGTTATTTCTCCCTTGGCTTTCTCACCTCTAACGGGTAACTGCAAACCCAATTTACTACATTGTGATGTCAAATTGAATTAGGACTGAGAATGATAAAATTGCTCTTCCAGCTTTGTTCCTTTCTGAAAGAGCACCATTTAATTTTCCGGGTTTCAGTATTATGTGCATCGCATTTGCTTCCGTAAGTGCTGAAATACCTTACTCTGTTTCTATAGGAATAAATCTTTGCTTTGCTTGTAGCATTGGTTACTAAACAGAAATCTCCCATGTAGATGATAGCATTTGCACAAAGTTTGTTGGTGAGGGTGGCTCCTCAAATTTGAGACAAGAAAGCTGGCAACTGCAACTACAACTGCATGGAACCCTAGTTAGCACTGTGAATAGTAAACCTTAGTTTACTAGACTATTAGCCGCAAACCTTCATTATTACCTACATATTAGCCACAAACAAGAAATCCCTAGTAGAACTTCAGCCTCAACTGGTAGCCATCTTTAATTTCTTCTAAAAAGATCATGTTCCCTCCCGGCAACAAGGGCTTTGTTTTCCCTTGTCATATTGCTGCTGTATAATCCACAGTTCTGTTTTGAATTTTTTTTTTTTTTTTGATAGTAGGGAATTTCGGAGAAGGAAACCTGGATATAGAACTCAGGTTTTAGGTGTCCGTGCACTTTTCACAAATTTTAGGTATCGGAACACTTTCTACGTTGGGGGTGACTAGTAAAGCATTACATGCTGGATACTGTTTGAATTAGATAGAAAGACTCATGTTGGTCAACCTTGTAAAGCTTCTATTCTACAGTAAAAAACAGCATTTGAGAAGCAAATTTGTAAAGAAAGAAGTGTGTTCCCATTTCAACTTCGGAGAAATGCCACGGACACTAGGTGTGAGGGGCCGAATGTCCGTGTATTCCGCGTCTGATTGTTAGGGGATGCGCTAAGCATTGGTTGTACTTCTAATATTGTAGCGTTGTAAGAAAAACAAATCATGCACTATTCTCGTGATCCGAGAATTGCAAACTAGTCTTCAGCACTCTTACGTGTTTGACGTCTGCAGTTTTTATTTATTGCAGCCGATGGGAGATCCCTTCCATCTCAAACCGGACAATGCCCAGACCTTTTTTCGGCATCATTTATCTTCTCGAAAATGGTACAAGTATAATATTTTATATTATTATAAAGTTATAATATATTATATTATTTAATTATTTTTTATTAAAATTTTATTTATAATAAGATATATTTATTTAAGTGAAGTAA